TATATATATATATATATATCGATGGTCATCCCACTATCCCACTTTTGGGATCAATCGCTCTGCTATCCAAGATTGATAACTATGGAACCTAGTTCAACCCTACAAAACCAGATTTTTAAGGTGAGAGTTGTCCCTAACTTACATACTCTATTCTAGACATATCACTAATTGATGTGAGATCCCTAACACACACCGCTCACATTAAGAATTGGACATCACAAGCGTGAAACTTGCAAGATTGAACATCTATAGGAGGTCCGATAACAATCGAAACCAATAGTGGATGGCCAAGTAGGTCAAGTCTAATAACAAATTGTTAGGATAGACTATAATATCATCTTAGAATGTGGATTTTAAACCTAATTTAACCCTACAAAACCGACTTTTAAGGTGGGAGATGTTCTCCACTTATATAATCAATTTGGACACATCATTAGTCGATGTGAGATCTTCAACAACTATCTATGAGAAGGATGTCTAAATATACATGGTGCACACAATGCTAAAAAACACTTGATGACTTGCCATTCACACCTACATCTCTCTCTCCTTGCTACGCTAAAATAATAACAAAGTAGACACAATGAGCTACAAGCAAAGATCCAACACAAACAATATTTCCTCCTATTCCTCTATCCTCCTCATTCCTCAATAGAATCATAATGGATATTATCTATTTCCTGCTTAAAATAGCATTTACCTAGAGGTGGCAAATGGATGGATGGATTTTTAAGTTGGAATATAATTGATCAGATAAAAATAATCCATTAATCTATTTAGATTCACTAAAAATCATTTAAAAATACAATCCATCCGATCCAACCATCCAATCCATCCATAACAATTTTTTTGATGAAAGGATATCCGATCCATCCATGAAAGTGTTTTAACAATTAAATATTTTTTTTGGTAAAAGTCTTTTAAAAAAAATATTATAAGTCATTACATTATTATATAATCTTTAGAAGTCCAAAAATACTTTTTTTTAAAGTCAAAATAGTCTTTACAATCTCAATCCAATACACTCCGTTTATTTAATCCAATGGATTTTGAAAAATAGTAGATGGATCAATATCCATCATAAAATTAAATGGATGGATTAATCCATCATTATTATATTTGTATAATGGATGGATTGGATGGATAATGGATAAATGGATTTTTTACCTACTAGATTGTATGAAGCTGTTCTGTACAATGTACAGCTATGCAAGAAGAAAATGAAGAAATTACCTGCTCCAATAGCATATACATTCTTCAATCCACCCATGATTTCATGGGTAACAAGATCAACATTATCCCACACTATAAAGTGAGTTTGCCTCAAAAACTTTGCCAACGGTTTCCTCCATTTTTCTGCCCCACATATCCGAGCATTTGCATATTCCTTGTTGTAAATTTCTGAGGCAATGTTTGGTCCTCCAAGATAAAGGATGCTCTCCATGGGAACTCCAGCTGCAAAGAAATCAGACAATTATGTGAGTTTAATAAAACATGGATCTCATGTACCATTACAAAAATAAGAAGTCAAGAAAGAACATCAAGATTTTTATCTTCATAGAATTAAAAGAAAGCACATTCAGAATCACCCACCTAAAAAATAACAATTCCTTTTCCTTCGCACTACCTTTTCATTCTTTAGGGAAAATTTCTGCTATTATAAGGCCCAATTACATTAGCTTCTATCGAATGCCAAAGAAGTTGTAATAAACAGAAATGTATTATGCATGTGGTATCATGTATCAATTATAAACATGTATATAAGAACAGTTTTAACTTTTATTATGCAAAAGCTTAATATTTGGAAAGCAACAAGCATATCTTTTGGGCTACAGGGAAATCAAGCATCAAATGATCCACTGTCACTATTTTGCTCAGTGCTACACCAACTAAAAAGATAACATGATATTCAGGTATAGCAGCTTGTTGTAACCCTCAGCATGCAGAGCTCATAACACTCAGATATTCAACTCATCAATTTACAAATTTTTATCCCAAAGAAAATGCTCCAATTGTTATCTTGTTATTCACATATTGCATAGTTATTTCAATTTACAAAATAAAAAATAAAATAAAGTGAGGAATCAGGAATCAGATTTAGTTCCTCTAGATATAAAAGAAAAACACCATAAAATCATAGGAGCTGTCTAAATTCTAGACTGCAATATGATATATGTAGTGAAAATATAACCCATATTTTAGACTAATGTATTTCAGAAATAAAATTCAAATAATTATAATTTCTGTGTGAAAATTCTATTTCAAGGCATCAATGGACAACAGTCATGTATGCTAGGCATAAAGTGGCTTCAAAATAGTGAAAGTGAAAGTATTAAAAGTTGCCACATTAGGATCTAATATCATGAAATTCAACAATTCTAAGCAGTAGCTCTTGTAAAGGATGGATGACTTTACACCCATACGTGCTAATTAACTCAGGAACTTTCAGTTGAATTGCATGTGAAAAGGAAAGTTAATTATAAGTTAATTGTAATTCTTTCCTTTTGAGAACTCCACATCAAATTCTTTCAGATAGCCATTCAGAGTTGCACAACGTGAATTGTTTGAATGCCCCAGCTTTCGACTCCATGAGTTAACACAATGTGAATTTTTATGTTTCCAAGAAAACAAGGGAAAACCAGAAAACAATTTCTTTATGAACATGGTTAGGTCATTTTTATCAACTAATTTGGGGACTCTTGGTACTTTAAAAGGTTATCATTAGTTGAATTCTTGAGGACAACGGACAACGCTTTCATTATTGTTTCCACTTTTTAATACTACGTCTTAGTTGTATTCCCTAATTCACAAGCATGTAAGGAAATCATATGACTAAGCTCTGTCTCCATAAACGGGTAAAGTTTATAGTATTTTGGTAGTGCAATAGAGAAACCAAAAGAGGAGCAGGAAACTTAGCCTAGTCAGACCATATAAATAAAATAAAAAATTAAAAAAATAATTGCTTAAAATAATAAAAGAGGACTAACATAGCATTAAATATGTTTTAAAATGCTCCACAGAAATGCAAATACGAAGAAAGGAAACTTTAGAGTGAAAACCACTGAATCAACACATACTACTACATAAAGCAGATAACAAAATAAGTGTAAATGCATCTTACTTGCTCGATTGATCATTAGAGTTGGAGTTATTATCCGTGGCTCAGTGCCCAATTCAGCCTCTACACCTTTTGCCAAGGAAACAATGACAGGGACAGTGATTCTCTCTTTCCAGTACTTACTAATTTCCTCAAACACCTCACGAGTTTCCGTTGATGGCAAGCCATTAATCACAATATCAGCATCCCACACAGCCTCCTGCAGGTTTGTCACAACCTTCAGAGGGCACAGAGGGGTATCAATCATATTCAAGCAAAACCCATCTTTCAAAATCTCATCTGCATAAAGTGTTCTATCACCTAACCTAGCCTCAACATATTTCAAATATGCACACCTCCTAATAAGCCTCCTCAGTACATCCTCCCTTGAATTGATCACCTCAAACAAGTGCTCAGCCGTGGCCCTGTCAACCGTTCTTCCCTGCCTTCTCCATATCCTTATCAGAACCTTTTCTCTTAAACTACCATAAGCCTCCTGCAACATAGCAATAAACACACTACCCCAAGCACCAGCTCCAACGCCAACTATTCTCAATGGATCGCCCTCCACTTTCCCAATAAGCCCACGAATCTCATCAACCTTCTCTTCTAAACTACCACCATTTACATTCAAAAGAGAACCATTTGAAAATGCATTCCCATTGCTTCCAACCATCTTCCTTCCAAACTAAAGCACCTCGATGGTTACCCTACAAATTCTGAGATATTAGATCTGCCAACAAAATCTCACTATTCTCTAATGCCCCCACAAATCCTAGTGAGAAAAACACTTGCAGGATTGCAAGTTCTAACCTTTTTAAGTACAATTATCTGGCTCAAAAATGCTTCAAACTTCTACAACATCAAATCCTAACTAGAACAAACAACCCCGTCAATCAGAACTCATAAAAACACTAATCTCCAACTGGGTAATAATAATATTATACAGTGATTAAATAACCCTCAGAGCAACAACTACTAGCTTCTTCCTAGAACTTCTACCAGCACGACATTCATTAGAAGAAAAAATAAAAAAACAAAAACAATGAACCTCAAATCTAGCACTTTGGTAATCTAAACCCAACAAATAAGTTAAAAACAAAAAAATTATGTGGGCGGATACACCAACACGCTTTGCCAATTGGGGTTTGCGTGGAATGCTGGAATTTGAAAACGTGCTTGAGTGTGAAAGAAGGGAAGACGATAGAAAATTCGGAGTCACTTTCTCGTACTAGGGATGAGAAGCGCCTCCGTCAACTTCTAGAGAAAAAGGGCATGTTTGTCACACCAAAATCTGATACGAATAAAATCAAGGAAATGCTTCTTTTTTTTTTTTCCTCAAAGACTATTTTTTTTTATTATTAATTATTAATCATAATAAAAACAACGTAATTATTAGGGTTTAGCAATAATACAATGTCAACGTAATTTTTTTTATTATAATTTCTGAAATAATTATTATAAAAAATAAAAAATTAATTATTTATGTAGACTATGCCTTGATGATAGTATAAAATTATCGGTATATTATAATTAAATCCTAATTATTTTTCTGGTATGTGTATAAAACTTAGTTTAAAACTTATTATAATTAAAGTTAGTTAATTTAGGTAGAAGCATTAAATTTATCTTAAATTTTAATTATTTTTTCTCAAAACTATCATTAGTGAGATAATCTTATTATTTATCAAATATAAATTCTTTTAATCTCGCATTATTAATATATATACTATCTTGATTTTTATTGGCTATGAATACAAAGGGAAAAAGTAAAATTTTCAATTTTTTCTCTATATAAGAAAAAGTTAGATATCTAAAGAGGAATTTTTAACGTAAATAATATTTTTTTAAAAAAAATTTACCAAAATAACACCTGTGCAACTTTATTTACACAACTAGAACTATTTACTGTTCACACTCAGAATTCGGTTCCCGGGGAACCGAATTCTGAGCTTCAAAAATTTTTTTTTTCTTTTTTTGTGCTCAGAATTCGGTTCCCGGGGAACCGAATTCTGAGTTATTTTTAATTTTTTTTTTTTGGTTTATGGCTGATTTTTCGCGAGTGTGGGAAGTGGAACGGGCCGTTCTGGAAGCAGAACGGCCCGTTCTGCTTAAACACATGGAGTGTTTTTTTTAACATTAGAACGGGCCGTTCCAATTTAAAAAAAACACTCTATGTGTTTAAGCAGAACGGGCCGTTCTGCTTCCGGAACGGGTCGTTCTGCTTCCCAGACTTGCGCAAACTAGCAGAAAACGCAAAAAAAAATAAAATTAAAAACAACTCAGAATTCGGTTCCCCGGGAACCGAATTCTAAGCACAAAAAAAAAGAAAAAAAAATTTTGAAGCTCAGAATTCGGTTCCCGGGGAACCGAATTCTGAGTGTGAACAGTAAACGTTGTGTAAATAAAGTTGTACAGGTGTTATTTTGGTAAATTTTTTTAAAAAAAATATTATTTACGTAAAAAGTTCATCTAAAGAGTCCAAAATATTAATATGCTTTACCTGAATGTATCATCCTAAGTTTCACCCCAAGAAAAATCATGGTTATGTAATGTTGGTGTAAAAATTTATCAACTATTGTGTTGTATATCACCTAGTCAATTGTCAAGTAAGTGATTCAGTCTAGAAAGGGTCTCAATTCCTTAAATAAGTTCCTACTCCATTATTAAGAGTTTTCTAGTAGTCATGAGTTCTTGAGGATTCTAAACAATGTGATTAAAAATAATGGGTGACAGTAATTGTAAAGGAAATGATTAAAATCAAGTAAAGAAGACTTTCAATAAAACTCGTAATAAAAAGTCATAGAAGATAATTATAAATACCTGGAAAGTAAAATTTTACAGATTTTGATCATGAACCTCATTTATAACTTTGTTCTTATAATTTATACCATTTTAATTCTTAGTAAGACAAACATATCAAGTTCACCTTATATGAAAGTCCACACACCTCAACAGGAAAACACACACAAACATCAAATCTCACCATAAAAGCAGAAGACAGAGTAAACACCAACAAATCAAAACTAAAAGGATTAATAATCAACTTCAATCTTTCTACACTAACAACAAATATAAAAGAGTGCATAGCACTAGAGTCAAATAGGGAATAAATATCCTAAGTAGCTTTGCCTTTCCTTTCAATAGATCAAAAAATATGGAAGCCTCAACTCTACTTAAAGCAACACCCAACCCACATTAATAGGTCATTCCACCTTTGTATACCTTTAGTTGGATTGGCCCTTGCTTGACAATCTCTTGCCAAGTGACCAAACTTTCCACACTAGAAGAACTTATGCTTCTTGAAAGTGCAATCCTTGATCAAATGGGCTCTTCCTCACTTGAAACATCTTATATTCTGAGCTCCTCCTTGGGGTGTCCTAAGAGGTCTCCTTATAACAAAACTCCCTTGAGATTGAGAGGTTTCTCATAAGGTTTCCTCTACTGACCACCCTTCCTAGGCCCAAGTAACCTTTCACAAGTTTTCACTAATGATGGAAATCTAATCCCCAAGGATCCCTTTGGAAGAGATAAGACCAAGAAGGGTGAAGGTTGATCCAAGGAGGCTCACACTTGAAGACCATTGGGCCTTTAATTAGGTCCATGGTTAGGAGGCTAGAGGAGGCTTTTGCAGAGGAGGTGTTTCTTAGACCTATGCTCAATATGAGTATTGAGTATGATTCCTCTTTTTAGTCTCATAGTCCCTATTGTACATACATTGTATAGTTTGATTTCTTGTACCTTGTATATAGTAGATACTTGTATAAGTATATTTTTTCCTTTGTATTTGTGAGACACTTTTTTTCTTTTATTTTAGGTTATCCTTTAGGAATTTAAGGTATGTTACTTGGAGACTTTTACTCTATTTGACCTTGTATTAAGGGTCATTCATTTTTGTATTTTTCAGTAGTAGAATTGGGGTGACAAATAGCAAGATGTGTAGGTGCAACTAGTAATTGGGCCAGAATTGGGCCTAGGCCAAATTTTACATATTATGCTTGTTTTGCTCCATATTTTTCAAGGAATTGATTTAGGTAGGTCTCACCATCATATGGTGAACCTAACTAAACCAACTCCAAGTTTTTGGATTGGATTAAATATGGAAAAACAAGTGGGCGGCCTAGCTTGTCTTACTTTGACCGAATTGCTTAGTTGACTTGTAAACTTGGGAAACTTGTGCTACAAGCTTCTAACTTAACTTAGCTTGCTTCCCAAGATTCTAAGTTAGAAGCTTGCTCCACAAGCCTCCTAAACCATCTAGGATGGTCAAGCCAAGCTAACCATGGTTCTCTTGAACCATAGTTAGCCTAGCTTGAACCATAAGTTTCCCCCACCCTATATAAACCTTTTTCTTACTTTTGTAATCACTTTCGATGATATTGATTGAGTGAGATTAGAATTTGCATGAAAATTCTCTCTTCCAAAAGTCTTAAACCTTTTTGATATTCATCCAATTCTCTTATCCTTTTCATAGAAGAGTGTGGTGAGGATTGAAGGGGCTTATCTTCCTTCCAAGGAGTGGCACCTCTTGAAGGGTTTTCTTCACCAACCGTGGTGATTCCAAGGCTTCTCCTTCCATTGGAAGCCTTGGAGAAGCTTAAGAAGAATCAAGGAGCCAAAGGTCTAGGGAGGAGCTTGAAGAGGAATCAACATCAATCCAGTTTCTCAACAAGTTTTCCATCAACTAATCTACTTCCTCATTCTAATCTTTCAATTGATTTTCCCTTCTCCACTAATGCAAGAAACTCTATGATAGTAATAGGAACCACCATACTTATTCAATTCGTACTTCAATCCTTCATTGAACTTCCTACACCTCCAAGCCTCAAAAGTAGCCTTAGAAATAAAATAAACCAAATGCTCAAACTTACTAGCATACTCTTAAACTATCATGTTTCCTTGATGTAACCTCAGGAACTCAGCCTCCTTTGAAAACTTTGAACTATCAAGAAAATATTTCTCAAGGAACACCCTTTTAAAGTTTTCCCAGCTCACAACTTCTCCCCTAGCTTCGATCATCTCGTGAGTACCTCTTCACCAGTATTCAACCTCACCCACTAACATATATACTACATAAGTTATCTTCCTATCTTTTGTGTTGACCAATCTCAAAGATGAAAACTTAGTTTATGTTTCGATGATTATAAAGAGTGTCTTTCATGGTTAAGAGAGCGCAAATCGTATTGATGTGTGTTTATGCTTTGTTAGGCATGTTTTCTTTGTGCATTATGAGTAACTTAGTCATATATTTCTTGTTAGATGGTGATTGATGATGAAAAGATTTTTAAAATGGTTTTAAACTTGAAAAATTGAGAATTTGAGCCTATCACTCAAAATAGTCGATTATCCACTTGTAATAATCGATTATTTACATTGTGTTTTGTCATTCTGAAAGACTCACTATAATAATCAATTATCACTGTGCAATAATCGATTATTTCAGAGTTAGCACTTTGTAATAATCGATTATTCCAGCAAATAATCGATTAAAGTGTTTTTGACTATTTTTCAAATTTACCAAGAATAAAATAATTGATTATCTATGAAAATAATTGATTATTTCAATTAGAGAGTTTGATGTATGGAAAACCGCAAGTGTACGGTTGT